GGTTTTGGGTGGCAGTAATAGTAATAGACCTTGAGCTCTCAGTTATTTTGCTCAAGGGTGTTGTTCTATACTTGAGTCATACCCCCATTTCCAGCTTTCTGCTGGTTAACTGGAAAATCTAAGGATTTGTCTGTCCAGGCTGGCTTTGAACTTGATCTTTAGATCTCAACCTTTTAAGTAGCTAGCATTATAGGCATGAGACATTGGCACTCGGCAATTCTTTTTTTAGAGATTATATAATATTTATGTGGTATCTGAGTGTATATGTGCACAATACATTTGTATTCTGTTACAGGCTTACTTTTTATGGTGCTACTGGGGTTTGAACCCAAGACCTCACACTGAGGCAGATGAGCTATGACTTGAGCCATATCCCAAACCTCCTACCTTGAATTCTTCAGGATATATATTCCAAGGTGGAAATGCTGGTCATTCTAGTTTAATTTGTGAAGAATTATCTATCATAGTACTGTTTTCCATAGCGGCTGCACAGATCCCCACCAGTTCTCCAATTCTTCAGCAGCACTTGTGATTTTTCTGGGTTTTTATTTTTGCTTTTGTCACAGCCATCCATGGGGGTGAAGCTCAGCAGTAGAGCACTTGCCGAGCCTGGGCAAAGCCCTGGCTTCAATCTCCAGCCATCCCAATGGATGTGAGGTGGCATTGGCACACGTTGGGCTTTTTAATTTGTTAACCTGGACTCCCCCAATTTGAGGCTCACAGCATATACCTGTCACAGAATCTGATCTGACTGTGTGTGGTTTTTATTTGTATTTCTCTAACAATAATGATATTGGGTATATTTTTATATGCTATGTGGTCATTAGTATATCTTCTCTAGAGAACTGTCTCAGGTCTTTTGCCCCTTCTTTTTTGTAGTATTAGGATTTGAAGTCAGGGCCTATGCTTGCTATCCAGGCACTCTACTACTTGAGCCATGCCTCCAGACCTTTTACTTTTCCAATAGGATCTCTAATTTGTCTCTGGGCTGTCCTGGACTACCATCTATCCTGTTTACACCTCCTGTGTAGTTAGGATGACTGGTATGTACCACCACATCTGGATAGTGGTTGAAATAGTGACATATGAACTATTTGCCTGGGCTGACTTCAAACCATGATATTCCTGCTCTCATCCTTCTAAGTAGCAGTTGTATAAGTGGCTAGGATTACAGGTATGTGAGTAGCCAGGCTTACAGGTGTGTGAGTAGCTAAGATTGCAGATATGTGAATAGCTAGGATTGCAGGTATGAGCCATCATGCCTGGCTTGCTCTTTTACTTTGTTGTTGAGTTTTGAGAGTTCTGTATGTATTCTGTGTATCCATCTCTGACCAGATACATGCTTTTCCCCCATTCCACAGGTCGCCTTTTTTCCCCCTAGAGTTCACTGATCAATATAATTTTATATGGTCAGAGGCACAGAGGTACCGTGTCTTTGTGCTCCTCCCATAAGAGTATCCTCCTCTGGCAGGTTGCATCTTTACTGTGTTAAAAAAAAATATCCCCGGGGGCTGGGAAGGTGGCTCAGTGGTAGAGCGCTTGCCTTGCACGCATGAGGTCCCGGGTTCGACTCCACAGCACCACATAAGCAGAAAAAAAAAGCTGGAAGTGGTGCTGTGGCTCAAGTAACAGAGTGCTAGCCTTGAGCTGAAGAGCTGAGGGACAGCGCCCAGGCCCAGAGTTCAGGCCCACGACTGGACCCCCCCAAAAAATATATCCCTGAGAAACAAGTTTTGATTTTCATGAAGTCCAGTGTGTCCATTTTTTGCATTGCTTTTGGTGACATAGCAAAGAAATCATTGCCAAATCCAGTGTCGCCAAGCTTTTGCCTTGTGCTTTAAGTTTTTAGTCTTCTTTGATCCAGTTTGAATTCCTGTCAGAAGTAGAGAATGAGCCAGGTGCTAGTGGTCCCACCTGTGTAATCCTAGCTGCCCAGGAGGCTGAAAACTGAAGATCAAGGCTCAGAGCCAGCCCAGGCAGGCAAGTCCCAGAGACTCTTACCAACAGTTAACCAAAAAGGTCAGAAGTGCAAGTGTTGTTTGGGTGGTACAGAACCAGCTCTAAGTGGAAAAACAAAAAACAAAAAAACAAGCAAGATTGTGAGGTCCTGAGTCCAAGTCGTAGTACCAACACACACGCACACGCACGCACGCACACACGCACGCACGCACGCGCGCACACACACAGGTGCATGATAATGTAATGCAGAGGGTTTCCTGTAGTCTAGAGTTTGCTGATCCCTTCCTTATGGAGGGGCATTTCTCCATGCCCCCTGTGCACAGTTACAGGCAGCGGCTCGGCCATGGTGGGTTCCATTTCTTAGTCATGTAGCTTCATAAGGAATGCCATGTTATTTGGCTTTGACTTTGGCTTTGTATTGGGCAGTGTACGGTGCTGAGACTGGTCAGTGGGTTTGGGTGTTGCAAGCAACCCATCCATTATGCCTGGCATCTCAAATCTGACATTCGCCACATGGCAGGGAGGCAGGTTAGAACATAGCCCAGCAGGCTGGCCCGCCCTAGAGCAGCCTGTTCAGTGTGTGAGGCAGGGCTTGAGAATGTGCAATTCTGAAATGATGCCCTTGGGGACTCCATTGTGAGAGCACTGGGTCACATCCACTCACCAGCTGAGATTCACTGGGACTCCCTGCCCAGTGAGGATGGCTGTGGCCTGGACCCCACCCCCAGAGATGAGAAGGAATATGTGTTTGTTTGTTTATCTTTTTTAGAGGCAAAGTCTGTTTAGCCCAGGCTGGCTTTGGTGTTTGGGATTTAGGGGTTTTTTGTTGGTAGTGATAGTGGTGGTCTTGGGGATTGAACTCAGGGCCTGGGTGCTGTTCCTGAGCTTTTTTGCTCAAGACTAATACTCTACTACTTGAACCACAGCTCCACTTCTGGCTTTTGGGTGTACAATTAGACATAATATTGTCATAGACTTTTCTGCTGCAGCTCACTTTGATCCTCAGATCTCAACCTCCTGAGTAGCAAGAATTACAGGTGTGGGCCTACAATGTTCTAACACATGGATAGAATATTCTTTACTCGTGCTAACTGTCATCTTTTTATTTCTTAAAGTGTCAAGGTATACTGTGGTTCTCCCCACACACACACACACACACTCACTTTGGCAGTGACAGAAGTGGGGTTCTTCAGATCACCGCATGGGACACTGACAGGGGAAGCCTTTGTGCCCACAAGGTCAAACTTTAAGAGGGATACGGCGAACCCTTGAAATACCAGGTGTGTGGAACCACAAACTTACATAAAGATTATGGTAGCTGGCAGTGTCAAACCAGGTTATTTCATTCTTTACCCTAAAGCCACCTACAGAGATGGTGAAAGACTTGTGTCACACCCACCTGGTGCTTTCATCTACCCTGTAGCTAACCCTTGTCCTGAAATGATGTTAGGGCAAAGAAGAGAGGCTCTGGTGAACATTCTCTCTCCCTCTCCCTCTCGCTCTCCTTCCTTCCCTCCCTCCATCCATCCCTCCCTCTCTTTTTCTCTTTCTTTCTTTCCCCCGCTCTTAAGTACACACACACACACACACACACACACAGAGTACCCCACCACCACTACTACCACCATCCTGTTCAGAGCCTGATGTCCACCTGCGCTGCTGGTACCCATCTGAAGTTCACCAAGTCCCTTTCTACAGCTTCATTTTCCCATCATGCAGCAGGGACTGTGATCCCACTGCCAAGTGGTTGTCTGGTGTGGGACAGGGCCCTGGCCCCTGTACTGCCAGGCATGAAGGAATGAGCACAGAGCTACATTAAACTCACTCATAGCTCAATCCACAGTCCGAGGAGCCTGGCCTTGGGGCCACTGCGGGTGGGACGGTGGCACAATGCATGGGATCAGGCCTGTGCCCCACAGAGGAGGCTTGGTTGCGGCTTGGCTATGGGCCCTGCCCGTCCCCAGGCTGTGCAGTTCTCACTCCCAGGCATGTTCCTGCTTGCAGAGAAAGCGGAACTCCCTTCTATGATTGCTGAGTCATTAGAGCCAGGCCCTGGCCCTGAGTGCACACCCTCGGGAGTCCTCACCTGGGAGTCAGTGCTGAATGTGGTGCTCGCGCACATGCGCACACACACTGCACACGGCCAACCCGCGCCTGCGGGCTTCTCCTGCACGCATGCCCGCCCACGCCTGCACCATGCACACAGGCCTGCTGGGTGCCACCTCATTCCCACTTCTGCAGCTTTCCTTTAAGGCATCAGATCTGGTTGGGCTGGGGCCAAAAGGCAAGAATGTTCACTCTCTTTTACCAACCACTGGTGTCATCCCCCAAAGCCAACAGCATCTTTTCCAGAAGGGTATACATACCTTCATGACAGATGTATGAGACTCTTGTGTGTGTGTGTGTGTGTGTGTGTGTACTGGGGCTTGAAGTCAGGGCCTGAGCACTGTCCCTGAGCTTTTCTTTTTGCTCAAGACACACTCCACCACTTAAGCCATAGATAGCTCTGCTTTCAGCTTTTTGCTGATTAATTGGAGATAAGAATGTCATGGACTTTCTTGCCTAGGCTAGCTTGGAACCGTGATCCTCAGATCTCAGCCTCCTGAGTAGCTAGGATTATGGGCATGAGCCACCAGCACCTGATTTGTCTGAGACTTCTGTTATCCCTGATTTGTCTGAGACTTCTGTTATCCCATTGTACAGACAAGAACATGGAGGTTAGATCTCTTGCCCATTCAGTAGGTAAGGGCAGAGCTGGAACTGCAGGCCAGGCTGGGGCAGCACCGTGGGCTCGGGTGAGATGGGGGGGGTGGCAAGTCCCCTGTGGTTTCTCTGCTTCATGTACATACTTGAGGAGATGAAAAGCCTGGCATAGCAGCCCAGCTTGTCTCCCGGAGGGAGCAGGAAAAGCCACAATTACAGCCTGCTCACTTGGTGGCCTTCCTAGCGGGTCACTTGTCCAGGTAGCACTGACCGCCGTCCTGGTGTGTCATCTTACTTACATTGAGCCTCAAGCCTCTCGTCCCCCTTGTCGCCCACAGATGTCATGGCACCCCCAGTACCGCAGCTCCAAGTTCCGCCACGTCTTCGGCAAAGCAGCCAGCAAAGAGAACTGCTACGACTCCGTGCCCATCACCCGCAGCGTCCACGACAACCACTTCTGTGCCGTGAACCCCCATTTCATTGCTGTCGTCACTGAGTGTGCTGGTGGCGGGGCCTTCCTTGTCATCCCCCTGCACCAGGTAAGGAGGCCAGCGACACGCCCAGGACAGCAGGGGCTCTGCGCCTGCGCCCACCACAGGCTTCCAGCCCCCAGCGGGACCCGTGCGTACCATAGGACCTCCGGTCAGTCCTTTGGCCTCTTGGAGCCTTGGTTCCCTTCTTAAGAAAAATGAGACCTCGCTGGGCACCGGTAGCTCACGCCTGTCATCCTAGCTACTCAGGAGGCTGACCTCTGAGGATCACAGTTTGAATCCAGCCTGGGCAGGAAAGTCTGGGAGACTCTTATCTCCAATGAATTACCAAAAAGCAGGAAGTGGAGCTGTGGGTCAAGTGGTAGAGTGTTCCTGAACAAAAGAGCTCAGGGACAGCACCTAGGCCCTGTGTTCAAGCCCTACAACCAACAAAAAAGCAAGGAAGGGAGGGCGGAAGGAAAGGAAGAAGGAAGGAATGGAGGAAGGAAGGAAGGGAAAAAAAACAACTAGAGTCCAGCCCCTAGCTGCTAGCCCTGTCCCTCCTAGGACTTCCTGCCTACCTGCAAGACAGGATAGCAGATGAATTCTCTCTTGAATAAGATGTCCTTTTCCTTGCTTGCTTGGCTCACATGGATTTGGGGGGATTTCCAAGGCCCTCTGAGACACCTAGCGTGGCGGGGGGGGCGGGGCGTGCAAGGGTCTTGAGGCTGGAAGCTGTGCCAGGGGCTGAGGCTTGTCCTCAGGATTATGGGGATGGCAAAGGCCTTCTGTGCCATGGCTGGAACTCGTGTTTCTGACCCCCAGCAGTGAAAGTCCTTAATGCAAAGTGCAGCTTCTGTCCAAAGCAGAACACCTCATGGACGGGCTTCAGGTTTTGGGTGGCTTGGGGCCTCTGGCCCTCAGCAGAGACAAGCGAGCAATCCCAGGCTAAAGATTAGGAAGCAGAAATTCACCCAGACCTCCAAGCATGTAATCCCCTGTGAGTAAGTAGGCTGCAACAACCCCTGAGGGACTTCCACAGTGGCTACTATACATACAGGCCAGAATCTCATAGATCAGGCTTTGTGATCACACTGCGTGTGACGTAGAAAGCTAGAACAGGTAAATGTTGAAGTTTCACCCATCTGCTATTCTCAAAACATTTTAAAATCATTTATGGACCTCAGATGAAATCAAAATGGAATTATATTTTATATATTTATTGTTTTTGAATTATTACCCTTAAGTAGTTGTACAGAGTTGTTGCCATTCAGCAAAGCAGTTTATGAATATAGCACATCTTGACCAATATCACCCCTTTCAAGATTCTCACGCACATACTTAATTTTATATTCTTAGTTTTACTTTGGGGGGTCGGGGGGGCGTGTGTGTACCAGTCATTGTTCTTGAACTCAGGAATTAGCTCTGTCCCTGAGCTGTATGTATGTATGTATGTATGTATGTAAGTATGTATGTATGTATGTTGTGCCAGTTCTGGGGCTTGAACTCAGGGCCTGAGCTCTGTTCCTGAGCCTCTGTGTGCTCAAGGCTAGTGCTCTACTACTTGAGCCACAGCACTACTTCTGGTTTTTTCTAAGAGTCTCATGATCTTTTCTGCCTTGGCTGGCTTTGAACTGTACTCCTCAGATCTCAGCCTCCTGAGTATCTAGGATTATAGGCATGAGGCACCAGCACCCAGCTTGCTTTTGGCTTTTTGCTAATTAGAAGCAAGAATCTCTTTCCTGCCTAGGCTAGCAGCCTCCTGAGTCGCAAGGATTACAGGAGCCACTGGCTCAGATACGTTTTTTTAGTTTTAGTTTAGTTTAGTTTTTTGGCTGGTCCTGGGGCTCGAACTTGGAGTCTGGGTGCTGTCCCTGAGCTTTTTTACTCAAGGCTAGTGTTCTGTCACTTGATCATAGCTCCACTTCCTACTTTTTGGTGATTAATTGGAGTTAAGAGTCTCACAGACTTTCCTGCCCAGGCTGGATTCAAACTGTAATCCTCAGATATCAGCCTCCTGAGTCGCTAGGATTATAGATGTGAGCCCACCAGCACCTGGGTAATATTAACATTTTTTAAGGAGTAAAAGTTGGTGGTTTTGTAGAATGTGGTTAGACTGGGTTGTATGATCAGGACAGCAATATTGCACACAAGGTGTGGTTCCTTTCCCAGTACATCACAGGTCACAGCTGTCACTCAGCTCTACCCTGTACTGTCTTTGGCAAATCCTGCAGACCACATTCATAAAGGAGAGATATGAAGAGCAACCTCTTGAAAGATCCTGGCTTGGCTTCTAAGAAAAGTCATTTGATGCTGGAGAAGCAAATGGGGCGAGATGGAAAGGCCTTGGATGCCAGAGTGAAACAGGAGAACTGTGCTCTAGGGATAAAATGTATGAGCTGGTGCGGGCCTGGGCAGAGTGAGACTTCCTGGGAGATGTGCAGGTCAGAGCTGGAGAGATGGTACCCCCAGCCTTCATCCTCGTGGATACTTGTTAAAGATTCTCCCCACCAAACAAACCTCATCCTTAAAGAATTCATTAGGGCTGGGAATGTGGCTTAGTATAGAGGCTTGCCTAGCATGCATGAAGCCCTGGGTTCAATTCCTCAGTACCCCATAAGCAGAAAAAAGCCAGAAGTGGCTCTGTAGCTCAAATGGTAGAGTGCTAGCCTTGAGCAAAAGAAGCTCAGGGACAGCGCCCAGGCCCTGAGTTCAAGCCCCAGGACTGGCCAAAGAAAAAAAGAAAAAGAAAAAAAAAGAATTAATTTAGTTTCCTGAGTTTATTTTTATTACTCAAACTCATTCAGAACTGTCACCGTCTCTCATGAACTACTCAGGTACATGTAAGTAGGTGTGAACAACTAGTACCCAGAAAATAAATTGGTTTGATGTGGATGGGAAGAGAGGACAAGATGATCTGGAAAGTCCTTCTTCAGAAATGACCTTTAAGCACAGAACTCCTCCCTTGAAATTCTGGAGGAGGAGTGTTCAGCTAGAACCAATAGCAAGTGCACAGGCCCTAGGACAGGAGTGGACCTGGTTGGTTGTGTGCTGTTGCTTTGCAGAAGGGTGGGGATGAGGTCACGGGAGGAGTGGGGCTACAGTGTAAAAGTTGTTTAGGCCACGGGGAGCCTGGGCTCTTGATCCAGCAGCAAGCTGCTGACAGGGGAACCTGGAGGGTGTCCTTTACAACCTGATCCTAGGTAAAAATCATGATCCGTTGGGTTGTTTTGAAGTCTGGTATATAACTCAAGGAAACATCTCAGACGCTGACAAACTGAGGCTGAACAGGAGCTCCCAGCCCCTGGGGTCCACATCCTACACTTGAATGCCACCCAGATTCTCCATTCAGTGGGTTCTGAGTGTGGCTGGAAGCTGGATTCCCAGCAGTCCCCAGGGCTGTCAGCTCATTTTTCTATCGATGGGGAGTCTTAGAGATGCTGAGGACTCTTCTACCCAGAGCCCCCCTAGGGTTTCTGCCTTGGTCCCGTGCTACAGCTACCATAATGAGTCTGTCAGGATGCAGAGCTTTTCCTCGTCCACAGAGATCTCTGTGAGCCCCCTCTATAGCCGCCCCCTTCCTCTGCCCCCCAACGGCCACTCATTTCTACACTTCTGCCATTTTACAAATGTGCTATCAGCCGGGTCCCCGTGGCTCACACCTGTAATCCTCGCTACTCAGGAAGCTGAAATCTGAGGATTGTGGTTTAAAGCCAACCTAGGCAGGAAAGGCCGTGGGACTCTTATCTCCAATTAACCAGAAGTGGTGCTGTGGCTCAAGTGGTGGAGTGCTTGCCTTGAGCTGAAGAACTGAAGGACAGTGCCCAGGCCCAGAGTTCAAGCCCCACAACCAAAAACAAAAAAATAGAATGTGATATCAAAACGGTAGCTCGGCTCAGGTGGTAAAGCACCTTGCTTAGGAGGACCAAGATCAAACCTCAGTACCAACCACCAAAATAAAGTGCTATAGAAGTAGAACCTAACAGTAATATCTTTCTGAGTTTAACTTTTTCTTTTCTTTTTGGTGGTAGAAAACAACCAAGAGCGCAGAACCCATGCATGCTAAGCCGGCGCTCTACCACTGAGCCACGTTTCCCAACCTAAGCTTGACTTTTTTCACTCTGCAATTCTCTAGAAACCCCTCCAGGCTGTGGCATATGCCCATCATGTGCTCCTTTTCTTTGCTGAGTAGTATTCCACAGTTACCCTTATGTCGATTTGACACCTTCACCCATGAGAAGCTATCTGGTTAGCTATGGTGGCGCAGCGGCAGGAGGATCCCCAACTCCAGGACAGCTGGTCCTATATGGGGAGACATGTTCAAAAACACAACAGGACAAGCCATCTGGTTGCTTCCATTCCGGGGCTGTGAGGAGTAAAACTGTTGTAAGCAGTAGGTGTTCGGAGAGCACAGGCAGTTATGTGTCAGGAAGAGCGGACACACCCCGTGCTTCATTTCATAGAAAACTGTCAATGCGTTTTCACAAATAATTTTGTTGTCTCTGAAGTCTGATTTCACTGGAACGGCCTGTTTTGGGTTCTGTTGGGTTTTGAGACAGAGTCTTGTCATGGAATCCAGGCTGACCTCCCTGCTGTACTTCCAGGCATGCGCTACACGCCCAGCCTCAGCTGTGATTTTATTTGCTAAGTCTGGTTTTTCAAAGGAAGCCACTGTTACTGGGTTGTAAATCCCATCTCGAGTAGCGAGTTTTTTTATAATTGCGGAAAACATCTCCAACACAAAAGTCAATAAATACAATGATCTCTTCTCTGCCAGATTCTAGAATCATCACAAATTTACCCTGTCACTTCCTCCATCCTTTTTTTTTTCCTCTGAAAGCAAATCCTGGATATTTTGTCATTTTACATACACACACACACACACACACACAAGCGTGCACACACACACACACACACACACACCCTTTAGTATGCAATTCTAAAAACATTTTCAGACCCTACCACAATGCCAGGTGACATTAATAATTCTTTATATCAGGGACATGTGAGGTGTCCCGTGGGCAGCCTCATTCATAGATGCCTCTGCCTGAAGCCTCTGACAAACTTGG